CCGGGCACTACCTTGTCCTCTGACAATGCCATGAATTCCTCTTTATTATGTTGTTTTCTTTTACGATATCTGTACCTTCCTTTGCGTTTTAAGCTTTTTGATGGTTCCATGTTTATTCCTAGACCGTTGCATATATATATATATATATATATATATATATATATATATATTTGTCAAGTCACCAACAGTCCTTAGCTTTGGGTCCCTATCCAGGAAGACGTATAGGTCCAACGGTGTCTAAGCATGACGTCACCGATTCCATGTACTCTAGTCAAGTAGAAGACTGACCGTCACGTAGTCTCCTCCAGCCCAATACTGCACCAACAAATTGGGTGTAACGCGGTTAGCGCTCGGGTGCTATCTATGGAATCTGGTTAATCTATCTGAACAGCTGCAGCAAAACGATGCAATAGCACAGACTACTCTCATTTTCGAGGGCACGATATCTAACCTCATCATTGTAGACTCAGTGTCGCTGCCAGATTCGAGCGATCCTCTTCAAACATCCATTGTCGAAGGTGGACAGTCGGTGCACGTCATCCACACGAACTAGCCGGAAGACACTAGAATAAAACAACACCGAGAAAACAGAAGCACTGTAAACGCGCTTATTTATCGAGATGACGACACCACAGTAGATTAGAACGAAAAACGCTGACCAGTTTTTTCGATGCTAAGAGAAACCTTTCCGATAGTGTCACTAACAGAAACTCAGCTCTCAATATGGAAAAACTATTTGTTCAAGCTGTATATCGTCAATAATGAATACGGTGGCGGCCGTGGGCCGGTCCTTGATCAGCATTTCAAACTTTGAGAGGACGAAGCGCATACCATAGCTAGATGCTTTAATTGACAAGTGGTTCTGATTAAATCGTACCCTCTGGGGGTCGTCGCCAAGTAATACGATAACGTCAACGTCATCACCAACAGATTCAATCGCGCTCCCACCTGGCAGAAGCTCTAAGCCAAAATTCTGGAAGACTTTTATGCCTCTCGACAGGACGTCTTCCGTTGCAATGCTGTAGAGTGATGGAGACATAAAGCAGCCCTTTCGTACACCACTATTGACAACGAAGAAAGTAGGAAGCATGCGAAGCCACATTACTTATCGAAATCGTATGTCCGCCGATGCAAAGCTTCACTTATTAAATGGAGCGTTAAGCTCGTTAGATGGGCTAACTGGCCAGAAAAGCAGGGGTCCCGTTTTCTTCTCCAGGTGTGTCACCAGTTAGTTGATATTCTGCAGAACTCACTCAACGCCACAATGTCTCCAAGCCAATAAACAAGCAAAACTTACGCAACCCCGTAGCATATTCTGGCGTTATCATCTTTTTCACTTGAGACTCCATGGTGTCCCTAGATCACCAGCGTGCATCAAACGCTCGTGTCACCTTTGCTGATCTCCGCCGATGTGGCGCCTACGAGACATCACTCTCGCCCTGAGAAGCAAAGGTACAGTACAGCCGCTCGTTTAAATCTAAAGCCTGGATGAGTTCCGAAAGACGATGAACAAGTGTGGTTGGATACGTGTATTTAAGTGGATGGTGTTCAATGAGGATATAAACACCAACGCAGTAGGTGTTCAAAGTGACCACCGGCGTTCTGCTTGCCACGCAAGAATCACCTGAGACAGCTGGAAAGAACGTCCTCCAATGTTTCCACGGTGATGACGCAACATTCGTTCACGATGTTCTCATTCAGTTGTTCCAATGAATGCGTCCTTGTCTTATAAACTCTTCGTTTTAAATAGCCCCATCGGAAGAAATCCAAGGGGTTCAAATCGAATGACCGGCATGGCCACTTCGTTGGTCAGCCCCGACCAATCCATCGGTGGCCGAAAATCTCGCTCAGGTAATCACCAACCGTTTGGGCATCATGTGCAGGTGCGCCATCATGTTGTCACCGTGGTGCTGCATAGCCTTTCGGCATGTAATTGCGGAAGAAGGCAGGTCGGCAGCATTTCTTTGTCAGACGATGCTAGGAAAGGTGTGGCATTAGTACGGCACAAAAATCAACCTACCGGTCACCTTGTTGGGAAAGAAAAATGAGCCCAGGATTTTTCGACCAGTTAGTCTAGCCCAAACTATGACCTTCGAGCTATGTTGCGTACGTGAAGCTCGGTAACCTCGTGGATTAGATACTGCCTCAAAATACTGCTTCTCTATTCTGTTCAAATGGAACACTGATTCATCGGTAAAAAAATGAAATGAATATCCATGTGATCCAAGAATCAGCAGCGAAATGCATGCCGTTTCTCCAGATCGCAAGGGCTCAGCACTTGCACTTGAACTTCACCATACCGACGATATTTTCCTTCTTTAAAATCCGCTGAAGAGAGAAACTGGCTGTGTCACAGTAATGGGTGATTGTATTGATGCTGAGAGCAGTATTTTCGGTTACTTTACGGATAACATCACAAGCCAAAAGCTCATCCGTAGTGTTGTGAGGCCAACCAGTTTTTTGGCGTTGCAAACAATACCAGTTTTCTCGAACTTCTGCACAAGTTTCAAAACGCAACGCCTGCTTTCGTGCAACAGCAAGAACAGTCCCGTCGCGAAGTTCTCTGCAGCGTTTAAATCGCGCTGACCATACGACCGAAGCATCAGCACACGCTGACCAACATCCATGCATTGTAACTTCGGTTGCACCGAAGAATTTGCTTCACCCTGTTCCATCGTTTAGACCCGATTCCAAAACAGCAAGCATTCTCCACAGTACCCTGGCCAACCAAATACTAGTGGGTCGCTATAACATGCTATTGATCATCGTTGTCACACTGTCCACATTCATCCATCATCTTAGCTCTCGGTTGGCCTAACGTGCGCCTATCTGTCCACACCTAGTTGTCCAGCAGCCATTTCGGTGGTCTGAAGAACAGACTTCATGTGTACCTTGGGGATGTGTGTGCACGCGCGCGCTGCGTTGGTATTTACATACCCCGGTGACATAAACGGCTTTCGGCCCCCTATTCTCAGTGGACCTGTAGATATCACACCATACCCTCTGTACACATCGAAAGAACTTTGATTTTTTGTGCCAGATGGATCCTCCCCTCCTGATGACTCAGTGCTCCTATTGGAACCTCTTTCCACCTTCCGAACTAACAATCTGCTTTTCGCTACACCCTTACACGGACATGGTTATTCATGCACTTCGTTTTCATGTACTTCATCTCAAGTCCCGTTTTCATCAGTCTGCTATCAACATTAATTACGCTGGTCGAACTTTGCAAACCTAGCCGTGAGTTCTTTCTTGTACAGAGCCATTGAGAATATTGGGCGGAAAGCGGTAACGGCGAATGCCCAACACGAACGCACCTGCGGTTAGCGCGCGCGTGCAGATCCTCTACCCAAAGGGGTTAAGACATATGAATGACGAGTTTCATTTGTACGGTATGCGGACTGAAAGTTGTTCACCTAATCTGTGGACCGACAAGCCACAATCCCTAGTCGGATAATGGTTCCTGTTTTGGAACAGTGTCTCGACGATGGAGCACGGTGATGCACAGTCGTCGGCGACTTATCTGCAACCGAAGTTACTATACGTGGTTGTTGATCAGCGCATGCTGATTCTTCGATTGCATGGTCAGTGCGGTTTAAACGCTGCAGAAACTGCGCGACGATACTACCACGTCAAGTGACAGTTAGAGTCTAAAACTGTTGCAAAAATTCGAAAAGGCTGGTATTTTTGCAATGTTAGATAAACTGGTCGGCCTTGCACCTGTTACGGATGTGATTTCGGCTTGCGTTGTTATTCGCGAAGTAACCAGAAGTCCAGATCTCAGCGGTCGATCAGTACCGGGGCTACTGTGATAGAAGCGGGACATCGCTCAGACATGCTGGTCGCACCGTCTCATATTCCTGCATGACCTTAGCGAGCACATGCTTCCCGGGTGAACGGAACCATTCTGCGAGCAGGGAATGTGGCCTGTTTGTCTACAGACCAAGTGCACAGCTTTCAATTCGCAAATCGTTCACTTGTATCTCGGCATTCATGTCTTATTTACTTGGGATAGAGTCTGCACGCGCGCGTTAAACGCAGGTGCGTTCGTGTGGACATTCGGCTTTCCGACGTTACGGTTTTCGGTTCCATATTCTCAGTGACACTGGACATTATTTTGACTTTTACAATCATGGTTACAGATTTTTCTGTCCAGACCGTGTGTATTGTCTAGGTTGCTTTCCTATACGCGAGCTGATCAGGTTTGATAGCGATCCAGCTCGATACTGGATCTTTATGCGTTGCTTGAAGCGGATCTTATTAATGTAACTTTCGACCCGGCTATCAGCCTTCGTACCTCGTACGGTACTGCTCCGGCGAATTGCGACAGGTGATTAAATCATGTTTACTCCTCGATCCTTTAGAAGGTTTCCATAAAGCAAAGAGTACCTTACATAAGCGCTTTGTAAGACCTCATATGATAGCTAGCATGCAACCCGATTCATTAACTGATGGCCCGCACATCAAATCAGATGATTTCCCCTCTTTATCTCTTTTAGCTAGGAACCTTCAATCCTGCTACATCACGTTGAAGCGGTTTAAATGTGAAGTTGATTTAAATGCACCCTAAACTATTAGTTCTATTATCAGAAGGCTTCCTAACCACTTTAATTCCAAGTGGGCTGTATCCGCTACCAAGGTTATATCACAAATTCTTCTGTTCCAACTGCTTTCTTCTCAGACCATGCGTATAAACCAGGCTTAAGTTTTGAAGCAGCATCATTTATGTGCATTTCGTGCGACATACGTTGAGTTACCATAGTCCAGCCGTTACAGCCCCGTCCTATCCATTTGCCATTAATCGATTGTGGTTGTTTCCCCATTACAATCTCATTACAATGTGCTGATGTAGCTGGATATTCCAACACTTTGTCATAAAACCTGCTGCACATGACGTTTTCCTCGTTAAACCTGTTCGCTTGTTTTCACCAGCGCAATTGTCCTTCCATACACTGTGATTCTCCTCACTTTCTCTAGTATGGCCTCCATTTGTTTATTAGGATCTCGATTCAAACCTTGTTGGCAGCGATCTAACGCGCGTTACGATTTCGTCCCAACCAACCTCCATGTGAATCAAATCGCGCTAACCGACCTTAACGGAGGCGTCGGTAAGTTTACGGAACGGCATCCTCAGTTGTAAATGAAAATCCATTTCTGAAATCACCGTCTCTCTCTGCTTCCGCATTTTGGGGATGAGCTGATTGCCTTTGTAATGCTTTACCTTGCGACATATCCGAGTATAGGACCGATGTATATCGATCTGGGTTCAGTGGTTACGGTTTCTGTCATGGTGTTTGTGATCACTGGCTTGATGGCATTGTGTTATTTGTGCTTATACGCAACTGATCAATTATGGTTCGGCTGGCGAAACGCAGTAGACCCATGGATCGCGAGCCACGTTGCGAATAAGACGGCGGAGGGGACGGCGCCAACATGCAGTCTCATACTAAAACTTAATTACGTAAACAAACCGTATATTTCTCGATAATGCTCATTTCGCACAGCGGGATCGCATAAGATGGTCATTCCAGTTGTTCAGTGTTCGATCGTTTAGTTAGGCGCATTGGGAAGGAAAAAGCTTGATAGTACGAATAATTAAAGATGTAGCTAAACGTACAGTTGCAGTAATACGACCTTATAGATTGAGTTCAGTTGAACAACTATGATCCGGGCACCGACGTTCGGTACATCCAGTTGCCAAGACCCACATCATCAGCATAGCAATAAATAACAACCACAATATGAGGTTGAATGCAAATCGAATGTAAGGAAAGGAATTAGGAAAGTGGTGCATTAACTTAAGCAGAATGAAACGGAAATTAAGCCGAATGCAGGAGGAACACCACTGACTGTGCGACTGCACCATGTCTGGTAGGGTATTCAACTACTGGTGTGGACCATTCCGAAGCCCCCATCCACGAAAACGGCAGGTATCAGCCTAACCTAGTCTGTCGGTCAGTTTCTTCCTGCTCTTATTCCACATCATCGACTGACCATCACCCGGCTTCGCCCAACTTGCTACAGCCACGGCGTATAATACACACATTGAGGAAGGCGGTCAACAGGCATACGGAGGACACGACCTAACCAACGTTTATGGTCAAGATTCAGCAAACACTTGTGTGAGGCACCAGGAGGCTTCTTACCGAAAACTAACTGTCGAATCTCATCACTACTGGCCGGGTGTTCGCACCAGACGTGAGCAATACTCCACAGGCACTGCTGGTCAAACCCGGCCAATCGTTTAACCTCTTCACTGCGAACTGGCTAGCAACACCAATGTAGGGTTGTACATCCTACATTTCACTAACAGGCTGATATCCTACCGTCTCCATAGATGGTAGTGCCTCTGGAAATCCACACGGGCTATGCTGCTACGCGTAGTAACCTCCTCAGTGATGTAACCAACGGAGGTGACTAAGCTACCAATATAAGTGAACCAATCCACAGGAAACAAGATATGGGACAAGCCTGACGAAACCTGATTGTTGTGGGAACTCAGAACACTGCTTTCCGTAGACACCCGGCCTTATGAGTCACGGTTAGGCCACTTCAGATTGGTAAGATGTTTAGCTCTCCCGCTCTTCACGGATCGACAGTGGCACAAACTGACACGGTCAGCCGAGTCGGCTTTTAAATCAAGAAAAACCACCGTAGTCAGTCACTCGTAAGTGTGTCTCTGTTCTAACACTTGCTAAAGAGTATGTGGTCAATGCAGCCATGACCAGAGCGGAAATAATAGGAATGAGGGTAATGCGACGATACTTTTCGCACAAATGTGCGAAAATGGGCTCAACAGTTGACAGTCGCACCACTTCACTGTCTCACCACTTGTTAACTAGAGCAGCAAGTCCAGTCAACAATGAATCACCTCCATCTTTCAGCGAAGACGGAGAAAGGTCGTTGGGTCTAGGAATCCTGTTTCGTTTCAATACGGAAAACCCATTTCAGATCTCTTCCAAAGTGGGAAGTGTGACATCAATTCCCCACGTGGGCTCAGGTGATTCGGCATGCGGCAGTATCGTACCACGCCTGCTGGACTGCTCCCCAAAATGTTCCGCTCAACGGGCTAGTCGATGAGGCTGAGACTGTTTCAACCCAACTGTTATCTCGCTAACTGATGTCTTTCTCGGAGCCTACCAACGTTTCCGGCCGCTTCGAAGACTTCTTTTCAGTCATCGTTTCAGAGAGTTACGACACGCTGAAACTCAGCTCCCAACGGAACCTGTTTGCGTTCTTCGCTCAAACTGGTCGATGCCTCAGGGATTCATACACAGTTCGGATGTCTCAACTTGGGCAGGCATCAAATGCGTTTTTCGTGACACAATTGAGACGATTCTAATTAGCTTTCGGCTCACCAACCTCATTCATCACTGACAATTGGCGGGCCAGTTCGTCATGATTTGTTGAACTGCAGATTGCGGGTTTAACTTACAGATAAGAAGCTTAGCAGGTAGGCGCTTCTTTGAAGCGGGAATTGTGAATGCCAGGCGTGCGCTCACTAGAACATGGTCTGAATCCAGGCAATGCTCCAAATTGACCGACAGTCTTAGACTGATGTGCGCCATTTATCTATCTATCTATTTACGTCCACGTCATAGAGGAATTCAGTAAGCGCCAGGTTACGTGATGTTTGTGCTGGAAAGCATTGCTACTAATATAGAGATTGTGGTCGGAGCACAATTGAAAGAATCGAATCACCATTGTCTGTTCGACGTCCATCGACCCCGAAGCGGCCTCCCACGTGTTGTTCAATGTTTGTGAGACGACCCACTTGGGCATTCATGTCACCAGTAACAACCACGATGTCAGCATTCTTCGCCATGCGAAAAAGAAATAGGTTTTCACGATAGAAATCGTCTTTGATTCCCTCCGAACTGCAATCAGAAGGAGCATAAACTGAGGCGATGAAAGACACTTTGTCTTCAAATGATGCTTTTTAGCCCCAATAGAAGCTCGATGTCGGACAGCGCACATGTTGCTGTTCACTGGCATCCAGTCTAGTAGATTACTTTCAGCATGTTTGCTCTGGGCCATATCAACCCCATAAGTGCCTCGAGCCATTGTCTCAATATTGCCAGAGACGCGAAGAGTGTAGTCATAGTCAGTAGAATCGGAATTACGAAGTCGAAGATTTCTCACAACGCTGTTATTTTGTATGCGTATGTCGGAGACACAGCACATATCAATACCAAGAGAGTGGAGAGTGATGGTTTATGCTGACTGTTGGTATATCTTACTCAGATTGCAGACGTTAAAAGAACCATTGTCAATTGTGTCTGTTGTTTTGAGGAACGAATTACGTCTATCAATGACAGCAATTGTGCGACCAGCAGTCGTTTCCTGCTCCTTAGACGAGGTTGAAGATGGGGGAGATGGGTGCGAAAAATGAGAAGAACAAGTATTGTTGACGACGTCGAGAGGGCAGATGCTACTCTCCGGCTGCCCATTCCGAGAATACTGAATACTGGTTAGAAGCAGCGAGTAGAGCTTGCTCTGTGTAGCTGCATCGGTCGTCACTCATAGACGAATACTCGTTATATTGTGTTCCGATCGATATATTTTGCCTCTACTACGTGCTGTGGCAGGTCGTTCCATACATTCACCACTCTGCGTTCGAAACATAGTTGGTGAACGACCCGCTTCAAGTCCGGTACGACAAGCTTATACCGGCGTCCTCGTGTGCTGCTTGGTTTGCCCAGATGAAGCAGTGGTCTCAACATAGGATAATCACCCAGATGTAATATACGGTGAGTCATGATGAGGTCAACCCTCATTCGACGATAAGCTAGGGTGTACAACGCTAGTTTCTTACACCGGTCTTCGTACGGCACACCACCTTTTTTTCAAAGTACCTTATCTCTGGCCTTTGACTCAACAGTCTGACCCACAAGGCACTGGGGTACATGGGAAGGTTCGTTTGGGGGACTCCACCCGGAGCATTTGGCTCAGTAGTCTGACCCACAAGGCATTGGGAGATCTGGAGGTTCTCTTGAGGGATTCCACGCGTGGCATTTTGCTCAATAGCCTAATCAGCAAGGCAGTGGGAAGCAGATCTAGCTCGGGGAGTGTGATTGCAGAGACCCATTGGGATCTGCTTAAGGCTTGTCACACACAGCCGTTGAATATTTGGGATAATTCACTCAATATTCACGACTGGCGCCACCCACACACTACGCTAGGACTTGTTTCGTCGAATCACTTCTGCCCGTTTGCGCTCCCACCATGATGGCACATCCACTATGGCATGCATACAGAAATGCTTGGTAAAACTATCTGCTCTCGACATTTTTTACTCCTAGTGACAACCCGACATTCGCTCATGCATGTTATGCACGTCTGGAGCCAGTACGAGTTCACCACCATTCTTTCGGAGGATGGCATTTCACCTTCCTATTCCGTTTTTGCATGTATTCAGACATTCTCTTCACTTTTGTTTTTCAGTGTCGTTTCACAACGTGATTACAGTTGGCGCATTCTGTATCGGCTCGCGTTCACACAGAAGCAGTGGTCTGTTCAAGATGGCCGCGAACACAGCCCTATCTTCTACGAGCTATCCGCCTTCCTCCTTGTCCATCACGGCTCTTGGTTCTCAGTCGCCGATCGCCGCCGCTGTCTGTCTGTTGGAATCCCGTCCAGGTGGAAAGGCTAGCCGCCTACTCTACCAGGGGTCAAGAACACTTGCTATGTTGCGGGGTGACCTGGTGGGGTTAGTGCAACGACTGAGTGCCCGAGATCAAGCTGAACTCTTGTCTGAGCGAATACGACGTATGGTTCGTTTGCTGCCTTTTTTGCTTCATTCGACTGTACTTGTTATTTGTGCATACTAACCATGGTAAAGCAAACGTTTACACCATACCACACCAACCCAAACTTCTACTCACTTTGGTAGAGCTCAGCTTCCTCTCTGGCGTGGAACAATTTCTCCCTCTCTACCTGCTCTTTTACAGTTGATGACAATGCAGTGCATCTTTTCGGATAATTTGCTAAACGACGCACAGATTGATACTCACATCAAAATTGAATCCGGAACCCTGCTACAATTGCTACGTGAGCTTTCTGTGTTGGATGCTCTGGGAGGCTCTGAAGCATCTCGGTGAGTTCTTTTTCGCAATAACGGCTTGTACAGGAAGACATTCCTTGCTGTAGCAGCAGCCGCTTTTGAAATGACAACGTGCTGACTGGACTTTCGTTTCTGCCGCGTTGACTTAGAGTTTCCATTTTCAATATTTTCGTCCCTCTGAGTCTATCTCCAATCATTTCGTTTCAACTCCGCGTGCGATATTGTTTGTCTGCTAAACCAGCCAGGTAAAGTGACGAGAGACCGTAGTCGACACACTAGATCGCTTCCGAGGCTACGTCACCGAGGCCAATGGCTTGTTTGCTTCTTTCACACTAACACTTCTCGGCCCACTGAAACGTGGGTTACATGGTACACGTTGAACTCATTCCTGTCATTTTTTCGACAACGTAGACCGCGATCCTGTTTCTTTTGCCTTCACCACAAACTACTTCGTATGGCTCTGTGGATTAGCCGGTTGGTTAACCACCGATCATCGGTAGTCAATTTTGGTAAATTACAGTATCTGCCATGGCGACCACCTGTCTATGGCAACCAGTCAAAAACATCCCCAACATTTTCTACTATGAGTAGAGTCTTTATGCATGAACTTGTCTATGGGGACCACCTGTCCAAGACAACCACTTTTTGTCGGTCCCTTGAGTGGTCGCCTTAGAGAGCTTTGACTGTATTACCGGATATAAGCCCTGTCCATGGATAGACCGACAGTATAACTTTTCAGTATTATATTTCAGAAGAGTAGTAGGGGGAGTTGAATGGTATGGGGAGAAATTCGTCACATCTAGACTCTCTCAGACAGCCCCCACACGCCCGCATTCCATCGGACCCTGGTAGGGCTCGAACCCGCAACTCGACTGTTGTCAGTCCTTGGTTGGGACCACTGAGCTACCTGTGCCATTCAACTCCCCTACTACTTGGAGGGTCAAGTTTGGACTACACGTTGTGTGGTTGGATTGCGACATGCAGTCTCAATGTAATGGACTGTGATTCACATTGGAATGAACCTTAGTCACTGCGATCGCTGGGACCGTATTCAAAGTAGATGGAAATTGGGTGTTGCCCACCCGAAAACACTGCACAACCACGACGCGTTTCGATGTAATTTCATCTCATCAGGTGGAGACAGCAGGCAACACCCAATTTCCATCTACTTTGAATACAGTCCCAGTGATCGCAGTGACAGGTTCATTTCAATGTGAAAGGAAAAGTTGGAATTTTCACTAATGCCCGTAGGCCAGAAAGCAACACGTGGTAGGAAAGTCATGTTTTCTGCACTGGAGAAAAATTAGCACAGTTGATTATGGAGTCACGGCACAGCGAGTGGTGCTAAGGGGAAACAGGAGCAGAGGTGTGCAGTGAATTCCTAGGTGGATTTTGCATGTGACTTTTCACAAATTGCGTATAGCCTTTTCATATGCCGACCTCTCACTGCAGAAATGAAAAATGGTCCAAAACTATCGGGTTATATTTGGTACTATGAATTAATCCCATATGGAGGTTGCATAAAATTGTCTGTTTTGTTGGGCAATCGTCCCTAGTCTAAGTGTAACGAGGCGAGCTCACGGAACCCACTGCATTTGTTAGCATTCCGTGGGTATTTTTTCATTGTCTGCGTTTTTCTCGGCTATTATCGAGAGAAATAATTTGTATTGAACTATTTTCGGTGAGTTTCTTTATCTGCAGACGTCCTCGGTCTCAGCTTGATATCATTTGATCTTTTTCCCTCTTTAACCAAACTGCTGTTATTACCTGCATTCACTCCGTAAACATTTTCCACACTCTCCCTTTCTTTGTACCTGGTTCACAACTCAGCGCATTGCTTGAGTCCACTGCTGATGCGGAGAAGCGCATTGATCTTCTGGGAGCCATACAAAAAGCTGGAGATTTGGTGATAGCATGTTTGGATAGCGCCTGGGACAGAGGAGCGGAGTTGTTGTGGAACATATTGCTCGAAGATCTCCTTTCGATCAACAAGCCGAATAACTTCGGGGACCCAACGCTGACCGAGAGCGACTTAATCGCAGAAGCCGAGCGCGTTTGTCTGACAAATATGGCCGTTAACCTAGACAACGCCCTAACTGCACTTGCAGTTGTCTACGACTCCTTTGCTTATCGGCATCATGCTTGCTTGTGTCAAGTGAGTATTACTCGGAGGTCTCAAGACAATCACGTGTTTTACATGTCTTCTTGCATTCATGCTAGTAGACTTTCTGACTCTGGTACTCTGTTGAATCTACCCAGTCACATTCCACCGGCTCATACCAATACCGTATTGTCACCGGAGCAAACTGTTTTCACCCCTCTCTAGCCTGTGATTTTCTCTGTTCAGTAGAACGAAAATTTTGTGATTTTGTATTATTTTTTTGCTTACTATACTCACTGCGAAAGCTCAGTGCTTTTCTTGATCTCAGGGAAATGAATTCACAAACAACTCACTAAACACACAGGGTGTGATGACTCATTTTTTACTGTTACCTAACACAAGTTTGTATTCACTTTTGGGAGGCGGTTCACTGCGGCTACAGTAGCACTCAGGGCAACATTGTTCTCCAGCATCAGATGATCCATTGCTTGCATAATCGATGCCCATCCAACTTGTTCCTGAGGCGACAACACAGACCCATTCATGATTCTTTGGGGGAAAAGTCAAAATGAGCGGAGGGGCTTAGTTCATCACTAACCGTCAATGTACCGTCATACCTAGCTGACAGACATCAGGTAGTGCGTATTGGCGACCCTGTCTCTAAACCGAAAGCAGTCACCAGTGGAGTAATTCAGGGAAGTGTACTTGGTCCACTTCTTTTTCTCCTCTACGTCAACGATGTATTTCATAGAATAAGACATGGTGCTACTTTTCTGTTTGCTGATGACATTAAAATCGTCTACTCACAAGAACGTGCAGATACCCGCGCAGCCTTGTGCCACATTCAGGAAGATCTATCGGCACTTGAATCCTGGAGGAAATTGTGGCAGATGTGGACAAGTGTAATATTCTGTCGTACAAATGCGAAGTTCCACCAGACAGTCTATTATTACAAGGCCCGTTTATATCACAGTGCAAAGTGATTCGCGACTTGGGTGTGCGGTATTCCACTACCTTCAACTTTTCGGAACATTGTGACTTCCAAGTTTCGAAAGCCATGAAGACTATTGGCTATATCTGTCATAAATTTCAACTCACAGAATCTCGTATCTGGCTTTACAAAACATATGTGTTACCTGGCATGGAATACTGCTCACTAATACAGTCGAATCTGCGGAAATCTGACCAGCATGCTCTTGAGAGGGTACAGCGACGCTTTACAAAGAAGCTGTGCGGATATTCCTCCAAGATGACCTACAGAGAGCGCAGTGAAAAACTTGGACTTGACCCAATTTGGCTACGGATAATGAAGATAAACTTGTGTTTCCTGTACAGAATGATTCACCATCACATGCACAATTATGCTAACTGTGTCCATATGTCCGTTAACACTAGATACGAGCTACGAAATAAGGAGACAACGGTCATGATTCCAAAGTTCAATACGCGAATTAGGGAGCGTTTCTTCTTAATACACTGCTCAAAGCTTTGGAACAAACTTCCAAGAGCTATCAGAACTTGTTGCACATTGCGTTTGTTTAAGATTTCGGTAAAAGATTATTTAACCGTTCAAAATGTGATAATAATGTTTCGAACAGCACAGTCCTTAGATAACGCTTTTGAGAACGGAGTTAATGGTGCCTGAAAATGCATGCGGTCAAGTGCACAAGTGGTTATATTTTGTTTGGCCCGCAGCACTTTATTCTCTTTTTTTCTCGTGTGCGATCAACTCTCATGTGACTGCTAAAAACTTGTCAGACGATAGAACAAGAGGAATGTAAATATTTTGGACCGCTTCGCGCTACACATATTTTCATTTTGTGCTCACATTTTTTTAAATTTATTATACCATGATATGAAACTGCTGTACCATTATTTGATCCGTCCCTTCTGGGAACGGCTTCTCGCATCGTCGAGCCATATACAATTTATTTATTTATTTATTTACTCTCACAATGAGCGACTTGGATTCACCTTATCCCATCAGGGCTTCTCTGTTAGTGGCATTCCTGTCGGTTATCCATTTGATTCGTCGTATGTCTGCTATCGAATTATGAGCTCTACTAATAATAGTAACAAAAATTATGCCGCTACAGTTACCATAATGATATATTTTTATGTAGCGCTAGAGACGGTCCCCTGAACCTGGTCGGACCATTGCGTACAGGTTACATTCAAAACTTTTAGCGTACTCTCCAACAGCGAAACATTTTGCTCCTATTTTTTATTGAATATTTTCCCAGAAAATGCATCGCGCATTACTTATTATCACTTCATCAAACTGTCGAAACGTATTGCGGTCTTAGAAGACGTAATGAGGAAGCAAGTAATATTTATAAATTGACCGTAAATCAAGCACTGCATAGAAAATTGCAAAGGGAAACGTGAACTAAATAGATGTGTGAGCTACTAGAACGATGCGGTTCCTCGGACGCAGATCGACCAATCTCACGACCAGTCGTCAAAACGGTAGTCTGCCCCAAAGGTTAGAATAAGCTAAGGTTATAACCAGGTGATACCCGAGGTTCAAATCAAAGCAGACCGGATAGACATCGATTGACAAATTAGTGTTGATCTGAGATTGAAACTTGATCAATCGGTCTGTTTCAGTGATATTCGTCTCACATATGGACTTGTGTCTTTGGTCTCTAATAAATCTCAGTTTGCCGCCTATTCACCTTTTTGTTTTTTCCTTATTGGACGTTGCTGTTCTGTCATTCCTACACAACATATTTGGTGACAGAAGCCCACATAACGTGTCAATAACTGCTGAGGAATTAAAAGTGATCATGCACGAACAGCAAACTCAGTTTGAGGCGGCCCAAATGCTACGCGGCAATTCAGCATTCAGTTCTCACCTCCATTTCCGGAAGAAAATGCAACGGAACCAATTACCAATAGCATCACGGACTTGCATTATGCTGATGCTGATTTGATTTTTGTGCCGTGGTTCAAACCATTTGAAGACATTTTCAAAATCGGACTGAAGCGCACGAAGGATGTACGATGAGTCAGGTTATTGCTGAGGAAGCTTGATGCCACTGTTCACAGGCGATACACAAATTTTATTCTGCCGAAGAACCCCAACCATCTCTCTATGAACAAAACCGTCCACTAGCTATCAAAAATTTTTGTTGAGGGTTTTTTATTGTTCAATATTCACGATCATTGCACGAAACTAGCCAACTAGGTGAGGTACGATTTCATCACCTATACTGATAGAGCCAATCTTGGATGCGAACAGTTTATGGTGTCTACCATGATAGATCAGCTCATGTGTCTGTTTTTCACTTGCGGCCTCCAGTGACACTTCGACGGTGATCTCAAGACCAGATTATTGAGCAACATTGAACGGTCGCCTGATATTATACTACAGCAGATGACTCATGAGTGTCAGCGTTTGTTGAGCTGCAAGCTCGATACGGCTACGCTGGAGGGGGCCATCATCCAACTCCGTTTGCAATGTCGCAAAGAGGTGCTCCAAACAACCATCCGGAACAGCAGGCTTTTCGTAACGAAACCAATATTCGCGTGCTGGCAGTGTGGCTAATGGCACTTCGTATGGTTCTGCCCCTATAAAAAGCACAGATGCTCTGTGTACAGCTGACGCGGCCACAAAGAAATCTAATGCCGAACAGCGAAGTGTGTCAGGGCACCTAATCAGAGATCGATCTGATAGTCGATAATATAGGATCATACCCAAATTCGATGCCGTGATGGCAACAACTGGTCCTGATTAAGTACAACTGCAAGAATAGACGGAAGGGCGGTTCCTTTGCAACTCGATATGACGTCCGACATAACGTTCGTGTCCAAAAATACCTGAAAGTAACTGGGCTCAGCAATCTGCCGTCTGACTAATAACACTGTGCAACATTATTACTACAACAGAAATGAGCTAGGATGTTTCTAGTAGTACAAAGTGCGCTGATTACGAATATGCAAAACAAATGTTCCTATCACGTAGGGTTTGTTAAAATTTCGATTGTTAATTTTAGCTAAGCAGTGCGTTCCATGCAGCGAATGCTCGCCTGAGATTGATTCATCGGCACCCTGTAATCGAGGAAAAGAAGCCCTCTTCGCCATGTTATCCACCTGGTACTGAAAGTTGATTGATAATGGTGTTTCCCTATTGATATCTTGACCATGGCTGAAAGACGCTTCTGTGTCAATGACGGAAATCATTTTTATTACCTCTGTTGACCGTTTACTACAAATTCGCAGTGCAGACCCATTTCTTCACTACTGAAGTCTGCCTACAGTGCATATTTCGGGATGTAACTGAAAGGATAAAAAGCAGGCGCCGCATATTGTCTGTGTGTCGTACAATCTTCATTTGACTCAGTGACTCAAAGGCAAAGGCAAGATGCCCTTTGCAATACGCATGATGTGGAAGGAGCCGAATGATTACACGACAGACTGCTACTTCTGCCTAACCAGTGTCATTGGAATCTCCAACCGAAACAATGACAAAATTCATTACCCCGATCTTCCATCAGCTATTCAACCTGCTTCTCATGATTGCCCACTACCCGTTATAGTGAACATGTCACTGATGTTGAATAGTCATTCCGCATCGTCAACTTCCCCTGATTCTGACATTTGTGAAAACTTTGAAGCTGATATAGTCAACCCACATCTTATTGAACAATCAGATCTGAATGACTTGATAAGTAACCTGGATTTGCCTAAAGTCAAGGCCGAGTTCCTGGCATCATGGCTATATAGCGGTGGCCTTACTTATTGCAAACACTGTATACCGAATGCGAAGTGTTATATTGTCCGGTCTCCATGACCCTTTTGTTACTGTTCCGACATGGAAGTACTGGCGAAGGAACAATGTGTGAGGCATATCACTGATGAGTGGCGTTTGTTCATTGACTCGTCCAAGAGTAGTTTTAAGACCATACTGCTTCACAATGGAAATGTGTACCCAACTGTGCCTCTGTTGCATGCCAGTAATGTGAAGGAGACTTACGATAGTGTGCAACAGATACTCACTGCACTGAACTAAGATAATTACTGTTGGAACATCTGTGCTGATTTCCAAGTCATTAGACTCCTAATGGGTATGCAAGGAGGCTTCGCAAAATATTGCTGTTTCTTATGCTTATGGAACAGTAGTGCAACTCAACAGCACTACACAACCGAAAAGCGGTCAGAGATGACGGAGTATGCTGCAGAGAAAATGAGTGCAAGGCATACACCTCTTGTGCAACCTAATCATATTTATCTACCACCCCTACACATCAAGCTTGGTTTGACTAAAATTTCGTCAAAGCACTCAAGCGAGATGATTTTGCGTTCCACTATCTGAAACAAGTGTTTCCGAAGACCAGTGATGCAAAGCTCAAAGAAGGGGTACTTGTTGGGACTGATATTTTCCGGATAATGGCAGGTAGTGTTTTCGAATGCCAGTTGACTACATTTGAGTTAGAAAAGTGACGATCATTCAAGGCAGTGTGTACAGGATTTTTGGGCAGAACCAAGGCAGAGAACTACAACGACATCACAAAAAGCGCATTGCGGACTATCGGGCTGTTGGTGCTCGAATATAATTCACGATGCACTTTTGCAGAATCACCTTGACTTTTTTCCTGAGAACTTGGGATCTGTTAGCGATGAGCACATAAAGTTACCCGACCAGTTTCGAACCAGCAGTCAACTCAGGAAAAGCGGATGCTGCGATGTCGAACAGCAATTTGCTCCGCGTTCTGTAGTATCGATTCCGGCAAAGTCTGCTGACTCGTTTTGACGCTCTAGAATTTCCATTATCGCGTATATTGCAGTTAGCTTAAAAAGTGTAACATGCTAGAAGTGTGCAATTTTTTGTAGAATTTTGAGAAACGACTCTAGATTTACTTTTAAGCCTCGGGCAGAAGTGGTCCACATCACCTAAAGTATGATAGTGTTAACTAGGCACCTATGAGGCGCTTAGTGAACAGTCGGTATGGCGATACGATCATGCTTCTTTGTGTTGCCGTATTACTATTGGGCAATATTAGAGAGGATGTCGAGCATACAATTCATGCATGCCAAATCGAATCCCATAGAGATTTTTGGGCAGTGATGCGGTGCGCTGTTCTGCCTAAGCTGTTGCACGACACACTTGTTCTGAGAACTTAAGGGAGCATGAGTAACGAAGCCTCAAGTCACTAACGGTGTAACAGAGTAGGTTATATCATATCAAGGCTCGGAGCATCCTGGTCAAAATCGCACTTCTATGGCACGGGGCAGCATTTGTCAGTAGTGGGCGACATTATCCACGTGGCGCACAGAATTTAAAAAGTGCATCGAGGTCAAGGTGTATTTTTGTCAGCGTGTATTACTGAGGGTAGTAGGAGTAGACCATTTTAATGTCATCGGTGACTAGATAAGATGTGTCGGGTCTAACTAAGTTAATATCCTATTCACGTGTAGTAGGGACAATAGTGGACGCAGACCACTGCCTTATAACGCGGGTTGGAACTTAGGTTGAGGCCACAAACTGCCTGCGTCTCTCCTATATCTTATATTCCAGTGCGCGATCCCTGCCAATAGGATATTAACCAAGCAGCACGCCATCGGATTTATCACTGTGTGTGATACCAATACCGGCCAAATCGGCCGCAGCTGCTTCTGTGTCATCGGGCAGGCTCAGGTAATATTTGGTTCCACAGTCATACGCCAACGTAAACACGGTGCTGTAGTTCTGTACTCTCAGATAGGCAGCATCCATCTGTAGCCTTGGACTTGCTGTTGTAATAATAATGATACTAATAATAATAATGCTGTATTCCTCGGGTATCGAGAAACCGAGCCCACAAACGGACGGATCTACACTGAAGGTTACCATTTTGAATGAAACTCATGGCTTGTGATCTCATTCTTTCGGCATCAGTAGGATTTGTGTTATATGTAGATTTAAAGGAAGGGGAGTGATTGACAGAATGAATTTTGGCGTATGATACGGGTACTTGAGTAGTAAACCACGCAAGAGCGGAATCCATATTTTGGTGGGAAGGCATGTCAGAGTGGTACGTTATCTTAGCACCTATTACCTCGAGCCTTCGACTTGACGGCCTTTCCGCAGGACAGCAGGATGAAATGAACAAAAACGGGCTCATTGAGAGCTGGTGACTGATTTCAGTCCACATGCCTCTCCTTTGGTCGGTTACCAAATAAGTCCTAATCCTCCCTGTGATTTCAACATCCGTTTTCTGAAATACAGTGCTCCACCAATGGAAAACAAAGGACTAACTTTACTTAACAGTGAGTAAAATTCACCACGTCGGAAGATTTTTAATAAACATTTGTTGCTTTTCCTACAGATAATGCTTGAAAATCCTAAACGCACCACATCCTGGAATGCTCTGACCGAACCGCTCACTTGGACGAGATGGTACCAAACCAAACAGCTAGCACTGCGATGAAGTTATTCAGCCGTAGTTTGTTCCATTATCTTGCGTGATTCTCCCGCACAATTTCTGGTTTGATCAGTGACCCTTACAACATCTGTTTTTCCTATGCTGCTGTTCAGTCTATCTCCAGTTCTACTGTATTTTTACGAATTGTCTTTACCATTACTTTCCAATCTGATTCGACTTTTGAGTGCTCAGCGTTGGTTGGTTTCTCCCCACTGTATTTTTGCTGACTAAATGCAGTCACAAAATCTTCCGCTCGACTAATTTTCACTTGCTGTTCCCTCTGACATTCACGACCCTGCGTACACCGCGTTTATTCTGTGCGCCTCATACTTTGCTTGCTAATTGGTCATATAAATCGGACTGCTCTCTGTCATACGGGTCCTTCTAGTGTACAATGAATCGTTATATATATATATATATATATATATATATATATATATATATATATATATATATATATATATATATAGGAAATCTCATTGATTTTCCGGAAAAAAGATTGATTACAACAGCAATCAACGGCATCAACCCTACCTGCTTCTCGCTTCAACTTCGATTTCCATCCGCCATGTTTAAATAGATTCTATTTCGTTGCATCAATCAACACACTCTTATTCTTCACCCAGAAACACTTATACCAATCTATTACACTCAACATGTGCACATATGTCGGCTTAGCAAAACCTTACCTAACAATGGCTTCGTCAGCACATTTATCCCCGATTTTTTCGCGCACCAGCACTATCTCCCATTCGATAACCTGTCTATACGACAATTGTCCAGATGTAAAACCATAGACCATCTTCATCATTACTTTTTTTCGATAACTCACATGGACCCTGTCTATACGAGTTTACCTATTGTACAAATCTGACCATACCTTCACAAGTGTGCCTCGCCCCGTCGAGGATAAACCATTTATTTATTTATATATGTTACCTCTTCGTCTCTTTGCCAGGCTCTCACTGCACTTTTGACAGCATTGGCTGCAGCAATACCTCACTGGAACCGCACACGATGGGAGCAAGTCGCTGTTTGTGGTCTCTTGGCTCATTTCGAAGGCTTGCTTAGCTGCTACGGCAGTGAGCTTGGCATGATCGAGGATTGGGCCTGGGCTATTGAGCATCTAGCTGACATTCGGATTGTGATACGTCCCTCAAGCAGCCTTGGAGAGCGCACCGGTGACTCCGAGGCAGTGGTGCACCCCGTTGTCCAGAAAGGCGCGGAATATGCCTGTGACTCCACCGATCACACATTTTCCGATTTCCCAATCGCTCGGATGACGGATATGCACGAATGTGAGGTACCTTTTCACGCCGTCCCATTTTATTTGACATATTTATTGTTTACATGCATAACACACCTTTTCCTGGCTGCTTACCCACTTCGCAGCTTTGCAGTTTTATATCTGGTGGTAGCCGAAATTCCAGAATGATCTGGCAAATGGATGGTTGGCGGGAACATTGCCGATCGGATTTCACCGATGTGTCTATCGAATACGCAGTTGTGTTATCACTGTCGAATGGGGCTGGGTTGCCGGCATATGACTAGGCCAATGATCGACAACGCGATCCATCTTTGGATCACATCGATGTCCCGATGGGCAGTGAAGCAGCAGTGACCGGACTGTATTCGTCCAACAAAAGAACCACTTACACGCTGCGTTAACGGCGTCAGCTGTTCGTCAACGCACCGTGCGAACGCCTCACTGCCACATGACCCCAAGAAATTGTTTGAGGAACAGTAGCTGAGGTGTTCCTGCGGCACAGTAGCTGAGGTGTTCCCCACCTCCAGCTAATTTGTAGTATGATGATGATGATGACATGACCCCAACCTAGTTGCGCGTGGGCTTGATATACCACGAGGTCGTCTACACCTACGCCGATTCGATACGGTGAGCTATGGACTACAAAGCGCGCGCTCATCGTTTTTGGCCACCGGCCGAGTCATTAAGAAGAAGGCGTCACCTGTTGATGTATGCTGTAAACAACAAGTCGCTGTGTACATAAAATATTTCGCTAGATGCCCAGAACATATTCTGCCTGACGTGTCACAGAACGGCATAAGCGAAGTAGCGAATTGCTCTGCTTACAGTCACACATAAGCTGCGAAATACAATTTTAACCGCAGAGTGACTTTGTGAACGCCGCCCTTAAGTAGGATGCACTGTGAACATGCTTGCAGTACTATGCAGTGATTTACTATTTAGTTGCGCATGTAGAACGCTTTTGCGCTTTACTCAGCGACTTCGTTGTGGCAGCGCCATCCTCGGCTTCTTAGGTAACTTCACTGCACTACTGTTCAGTACTCAAGTAATACGATGTTAAACGGAAACACTTATCATCACGTTGAAGAATGCGGTCCGCACGCACTCCCACGGTGGACCAGCGTCCGTTTCCTTTTCGGTGTACTGAACCCTGGAAAGAACAATTAAGACCCGATTTGACGTCGTTTCCATTGGATTATACTGTACTCTTCCTTACTCTTGTTACCATTTGTAGACAGCACGCTGGTCATAGAAGGGCACGATGTGTACCGTTCTCATGTTCCCTGCATTTCCAACCCACCATTACATCCCAGTGTCTCTTCTTTTCACAGGTGATCAAACCCATCGTCAACAAATTTTGTGTGCGTCTGGACTGATGCGTCTAATTTGTGATAATCTGTGCGCACATAGTTTCCACTAACCACTTTTTACTGTTGGCATTTTCCAGCTCGTCATTCCATGGTCCGCTTGGACAGGCGCTCCAACTGAAATCCAGTCACATGGGCGTGTCCGACTCAGGATACACTCGGTGTCGTTTCTGGTCGGGATCAATGAGCAGCAAACCATAGCAGAAAAGCAAGTGCACATTGTTTGTGCTTAGGCGATTGTCGCTTATGAACGCATCTGATGCTTTCTGAGGAATCCCCGATAGACTGCGGCCATTTGCTTTTGGATTTCTGCCTATTCCTTCATCAGGCTGCAAAGCATATTGTTCATGGATAATTAGTGGCGTCTCCCTTAAGTTTCTGAGCAAAGGATTTGTCCTTGGCATTCGTTGCAGCACAATAGCTGAGGTGTTTCCCACCTCTTCGATTTAGGTCAATCTTAAATGCTTGTCGAGAAAACTACGATTTCACTACATTTACCGGGCAGAATCCTCATGTTATTTGTAGTCTAATCAGTCAATGATTTTACGATCTCTCTAGAAACTGGCCACTTGTTGTTACTGCATTTTATCCCTGTCATGTTGAAACATTTTAAGCAGCATAAACAGATTCTAAACCTTCCCACATTTCGTCCAATGCCCACTTAACCTAGGGTGCATAATGACATTCTAATGTTGCATATTTTCAAACGGCTTCGTCAGACGTCATAACAGCCAAGTTACGGAACTAGAGTCTCATAATGAGTTCGCCATTGTGCGCGGTTCCTTACCATATTCGAGAGCGTTTTCAGTCATGTGTTCTCGTGACCCTTGCACCCCCAGCTAGCAAGCCGAAGCTGCCCGATCGCGGCCAAATTTGAGGTCAGCGCCCTCGTACTTTTGGCCCAAGTCACTCGCCGACCACTTTTTCTTCGCTTCTAGCCGACTTCTGTGCACTTAAAGATTGCACGGCGAAATAAACGCTCATTGGACATGCAAAGCTCGTGCACAAGCCATTGAAGTGTGTACAGAACAGTTATGCGGCTCAACGACCGGTAGTCCGTTTGACCTGTAAATCCGTCGCCGAACACACTCCTTACTAATGTGATGTTGCCATCGTAAGCCACCAATGCCCCGAAGACAGCGGTGATCAAAAACAAACAACCTTTGAACCTCTTTTCCACAAATTTCACAGTCGTAGAACAGGACGGCTCTTATAGACTCGGCCCTTCAATGAGAGACTCAGGTTGCGTCGACGCCAGAGATGACGGATATTATCAAAAACAACCTGGGCCTTAGAGACGCGCAAAGGGACCTCATCCATCAAACTGTTAACGCTGCTGTAGCTTCCGGGGTAAGCAAACTTGTCTACTACTTCCAGCGGATGACCTAAATGCAGATGGAGCGGTCATTCTAAACTAAGAGACGGACACCTCCAACCTACACAGTACATTTTGAGCGGCATGTGAGAAATCGGAAATTACAGCGTTGTCGTCTACACACTGCATATCGTGTATCCTGTCCCACGGAAACATTTTGACTTCGTGGGGTTCGCAGTTCTTTAGAGCGCTTTACAAGATGTCATTCATACCGGAATTGAACAGGAATGGTGATGCTCGGCAGGCATGTCCCACGCCACGGGTAGTACTAAAGTGGACTTGATATTCCGCCATGCACCTGCACTCGATCTGAGGTTCGAGCGTAGATCGCTCGAAGAATGTTGACATTCTTCTTAAGCACTCGAGTATTTGACGAAACGTAAAGATGTGATTGATACAACTCCGGTCGGAACGAAATCCAGCTTGCTCTTCGCGTTTGATCTGTTCGCGTACCAGATAAAGCCTCCATAGAAGCAGAACTGTGAGCACTGGTTGTAACACGGATGAGACTGATCCCTCTGTGCTTACTGCAGTCTATCCGCGCAACCTTTTTGAAGATGTGTAGGAGCACGTCTTAGTTGCTGGACTAATACCTCGTCGCTTTTGGATGCCGTGAAGAAGTAGAAGCATGTATTCCCATTGGTGTATTTTAACGCTCCCACAAATTAATTGTGGAAGAACAAGGGAAACCTGTGAAGGTACTCTACTGGTGCTTTTCCGGACAGCTGGTCGACATATCTGAATTGTCGGCTGATTGCGACGAACAAAAATACTCACCAAAATCCTTCCATTCATAAGTAATACCAATTCGCCCGTACGGATTCCACAAAATGCTATGTCGATTCATAGCTGCCGTAACCGGGAAGTCCTGACGCCGGAAGGCCGACCGCTGTCATCTGCATGGCAGGTGCCTGCATGGCAGTGGAGGATGCGTCGGGCTATATCGCATTCAGCTAACAATTCACGATAGTCAGATACCGTCCTCCATGGCGCAGTTGCATAAGCTGCGGGCTAATTGGCAAGAGCCACTAGCAGTCATGGGTTCGATCCTCCGCAGAGGACCGAAGGATGCGCACCACTGATGAGCCCCAATAGGGCGAACCGGCCGTCTGGTGCTCTTCCGGACAGCTGGTCGACATATCTGAATTGTCAACTGATTGCGACAAACAAAAATACTCACCAAAACCCTTCCATTCATAAGAGCCGGAAGAAATACGTCTGTGCCAAGGGATTTGTGACACTTTGGGAGGCGAAGCTCCGGAGCAACCTCAGGCTCAGATGGTGCTGAAGCGTCTACTCACCAGGCACTACTGGATTCTTGAGTGAGTACTCGCAGGTACTGCTGGCTCGTCTAAGTACTGTTCAAAATGATCGATTCAACGCACGTCGACGTTGTTGACAGCGGATTGGCTCGCCTTTGTTTTCGCACAATACTTCGCTTACAGTCGGCCTTTTATGGCCAGTAGATCGGATCAGAAGCAAAAGGTTTTGGAAATTCCCCGGGTTGGCCGGTTGCACCAACTCACTGTCTCGCTGCGTCCACCAGGCCTCACGATCCTTTTGGAGAAGCTGTTTGGTTTCATTGTTGGTATTCGTGTGCAGTGTGTGCTAATCAACGCCGACATGGGTTACTCGATGAGCATTTGGAAGCTGGGGAGGGGATCGTGCAGAGATCCAGTGGTTAACAGGACCATTGGTGAAACCACAGATCAGGGTCGAAGAGTTGTGAATGGCGCTGCAGATGTGTGGCGTTTCAACTTCTTGGCATGGGGTGTTCTTGAGGTTTGAAACCAACGCGTCCTGAAAGATGCTGAGAACGCTTTGGACCGAAAACTTATCCACGTCAAGACGTTTACAGCGACGCTGTCGGTAGCCATCAAAACGTAACCCAGTCCTGGCACGGACATGCACTGCTAGCTTCGCGACAGAGACGAGTGTCGACATGCATTCACTCTAGTAGCGTAGCCTCAGCATTTGTGTTCAATGCATTTCCCACGCTGGCAAGACAAGCGGCTTCGGCAGCTGCTTCTCCAAATAAGCTCAGTGTGAAAATGCCGTCGGAACTCGCAGATAACGAAACCAGTCCTAGCGTGGTGCTAGGGTCATGCAGTCGGGTTTCAATGAGGCAGCAGACATGAACGGCAGTGGTTTCAAGCATGCGAGCACGGGCTGCTTGTGATCCAATTTGCACCAGCGTTCGAATGTTGCCAGCTTGAATTGGGAATGGGGCGCTAGAAAAGACTTGCCAATACTACTTGACGGCGTACCCTCGAATCTAAGTTCCTGGTCCGTATGGCGAGTACACTCGCCGAAGGCGGCACGGTGTTGTGAACTCAGTAACCGAGGGGATTACCAAAGATAGGGAAGTTTAACAAACTTGGATTGAAGTAAATGAACGGTGGTGCAGTAGAGCGCGATATAGCCTGTTCAGCTGAGAATAGCATTTTCTAAGAGTGCGGTATCGTTGAAACACTGATCCATAAGTTGTGTGGCCTTGGAGCTTTCCGGTTACCCAAACCCAAGAAGAAGGTGGACTTAGGGGACCCCACCTGGGCCTTGGGTCATAAAGACCTGACCCGCTAGGCAGCGCGACAATTGACATATATCGCAAACCGTTTCAAGTCGGCTATCACGGTGACGATGTCACGGCTTTCGAGTGGGAACTAGCTACTCAGGGCGCCCAAGGAACCCGAGTGCAGCTGCTAGCACGAAAGCCATTGACAACCATATAACTCATACACCTTTGTAGAAGCCGGTAGCCATCTGCCCTCCGTTGAATACCCACTTCTGGTCGGAGAAGTGCGTTGTCACTGACTCTATAGTCTGTCACATTGGCTTTGGCACAGCGTCTTGCGAGCCCCTGTGATATTTAATGGGGAACCAGTGACTATAGCGAAGAACCTTCCATGCTCTAGCATGCGACTGCTGATTGCCAATCACTCTGCTTATTCATGTTGCCTATAAAGAACGGAGATTTATTCACATTTACCTTGGCAGGAAAGTTGTTTACAGATCCCCAACCAGGGGACGGATCAGGTGGCATACATCTCCGCCAAACCAACCAATGGTCCATTCACTTCTGGGATATACACCAAATCGCCCTCGGCTTATCAGTTGTGCTTCTCACACTTAGTGGGATGTAGCCGCTTCCCATTACGTGTACACTGCGCCTCAGAATATCGGCTTTTCTCTTGGTTCAACCTAAACGTTTACTAGTAGGTCATATACTTGCCACATTGGTCTTCAAACGTCGCCCCTTTATCGATCTAAGAATTTCGTCATTTTTCGTTCTACTGCTGTTTATTAGACGGTGCGCCGTACAAATGATCATGCGATTCTTGCTTTCATCTTATCTAACGGATCACGCAATAAATTCCGATGACACTCATTTCATTTACGCAGCATTTACATCACTAATCGTGCTATACCTTTGTGAGCTAAATAACTCCGAGCTCGTCAGACCAGCTTTGCGAAACACGATACGAAGACGAAAGCCGATGGATGCATACATTTCTCTTTGCGTGTAAGAATTACGGCTATCCGATTAGATCCCCAAGTGTACTGCGGCCAAACGAGCTTGATGTGTATTGTTAATAATGGAAGTTCGGTGCTTTACGCCCAACCTCTACATCTGGCCTATTGCAAGGGTTTCAGTGAAACGAAGGAAGCAGGTTGTTTGTTCTCTCAGTAATAATAATAATATTTAGCTTTAAGCTTTCATGGGTACAAGGGTGAATGAATCATCAGCTGTGCGCCGTAACGGCGCTTCGCTGCCATGCAACCACAGCGAGGACACCCGCCCCTACACGGATTCGAACCGGTGACCTTATGCTTGCAAGCCAGGCGTGCTGACCACTCGGCCACTGACCGACTTTTTGTTATTCATTCCACATCTCAAACTCGTTCGGTCACACCTACTGTTTTGCCTATAAATGCATACCCCTACATGTTACTGATACTAAAGAGACAATACGAAACCCATGCATCTATCAGCCGTCATCTTCTTATCGCGCTTTCTAGACTGTACATACATTGAATCAGCGGACTCGGTCACACGCAGTGCTCGGTGTTGTGATTGATTTTCCATAACGCGGATCGGAATCTATTTGGCTTCTATGTATCCAACTTAGCGCAATAGACAAATGGTGACTCCATTCGATGCCATCACGTTTTTACATGTCAACCTTTCGATGAGGTCAAGTGACCAGACGTCGTGTGTTCCTAAGCCACTACATCTCGCTCATTCAGACCGTCTGGAGTTAGACGCGTTGCATGTACTCTTTATGAGTGATAGTGACTTTCCACTTATCTACAACGCTAAATTAATATTGCAAAGACTACCTTAGTTTTAGCAGATCGAACGGAACACTGTAGTATTTCGGTGTCTACTTTTCGGGTTAGAATAAGTTTCTATGTTATATTGAAATATATGTACAGTCAGATGCCTGAAATTTAGGTATCCGCATGGTGGTGTATATGTTATAGTGCATGCATGCTGCGTACGGGAGCCCGAACCTGCAAAGTGTGGCGAACTCAGAAAGCCAGCTCCTACGTGCGGAGCCCCGGAAATCATCCCCATTAACCTCCGTGTTGGTATCTGTCTAAGTGGGGAAAAGTGGCACATGTAATCACTTGTTATACTCGAAACACCATTTCGATGCCGTACATCGTAATTTCCGCAGCTCGAATTGGCTGTTGATGTTTCAATTGTTGCTTGGTGCTAGACGCTTCCGTTGCAGATGTCTGGTTTTTTCCCGAGGCTCAGAAGTTGCAAACACGTTGTTTCCTGTTACTACTACGCACTGCGGATACCACTTCGATTGGTGTGGAAATATTGGAAGCAACATCTCACGACTCGGAAAAGCAATCAACACTCTGCCATTTTAGTGCTTTTACGCATCAAACATCTTAGAAAACCAGTTACTTTTTACAACCCTTCTACCAACAGCTCCATAAAATGATGCCACGACTAAGAACTTATTCTGTCCACGCTGATTTTACAAACTGGCTGCTTGTCAGCGCATCATTCGGTGTACCGGAAGGTATAGGACCAACTGAACCCGAATCAACACAGTTGTCCGGAGCCCAGACAACTCCATGAAATGCAACTGACTGCCGGCACAGCTTGTTCTTGACCTAGGCGAGGTTTGCGCATTAAAAGCTTACGTTATTTTTGGTGTTTCTGGGCTGAAGTATACCTATGCTATATGTGCACCCGAGAACTATAAACTTTTAAGTACCCGTGACTTGTCCTTACTCTTTCCACTCTCTATGTGCAACCTCTTAACAAGGGATAACCGTACAATTCTAGTATCTTCTTACTGGACAATTTGAACTTAGCCTAGCGGGTTAAATTGCCGTTGAATGGGAAGATTGAGAAAGGGCTTTCAATACCTCTGTATAACGTACTACGGCCGATCAGCTATCGACAGAGTTCATGCTCCGGACTCTGCTCAAGGGACTTGGGTGAGCTTCGTACCCCGATGAGTACACGTAGTTTCTGTTAATTGTCATCCGAGCTTACATACCAATTTTGTTTTAACATATTCCGATACGTATATGTTCATTGATGTCTCCGTGGAATCGTCTGCCTCCCAACTACGTTACGGAAATGAGCTTGCAGCACCTCAATACGGGAATGTTTCTCACTTTGCTTGTTTCGGTTACTCTCGAACGATTGAGTCCACTCTTTTCAATTTGTGAATCTCATTATTCTACGCTATTTTACTCCCTGAGGCTAATCCTGGATAATTATGCATAGCTAGCATAATTGCGATTCTCAAATCCCCTCGGCTGTAACTAGGCCAATCATAGTTGTGCAGCATTGTTAGTTCCACTTTTGAAAATATTTTCACTTGACCACCTATACTTGTTGTTATTCAACTTTGACCAGTAACCATGCTGCCGCATATCAATGCGCCATTTTTTACGCCGTGGAATTTTGGAAACAACAAATAAGAGAGAAGAGTTATATTAAATTTTCAGTTACCATTTCGGTGGAGAAAGTTCCGTTGCCGGCTGAAAAAGCGGATGTTTACTAATCCTGGGCTGGATCTAAGCGCTGTACCACGACTGAGTTTTGTGGGATAAGATCCACCCATGCCGAAGCCTTAAAGCAAGAGAGTGGGATTCTCTAGCTTGTCTGATTCTTTTGGTCCAGTTTCTCATGACTACGCGGTGTTATCTACCGGTCATTTTGCTGTTTCACCCTGCCAGATACTGCGATAGCGAATAACATGCACTGAGGTGTCCGGTTGACCGACGTGAAAGTGATTTGGCGAGAGGAAACGGTGTGCATTCAATGGATTGTCCAGGGCGGCATCATAAAGTTACTAGCCAAACCCCATGTGGTGTGCTCTAGCAGCTACCTTGTAAAGACTATACGAAACCTAGACTAGGTAGTCGCACGAGATGGGGCAAAAGACCGAAGACTAGTAAACCTATACTATACGCACGGTCTGGGCAGAGAAATTAAAACCTAGATTCCTGTTACCGTGATTCTGTAACACAAATTGAACACAGTAGTCAACTTACGATTAGGTTTGCAGTCGTCATAAGAAAGGGCAGAAACAGCAAGACATTCGGCAGCTTGGCAACATGGTACAGCGTAGCAATTTGCTAATCGGCAGACTGTCAAAGATGAAATGTTTGTCCTTGAGGAGTAAAGGATATGCTAATAATGCAAAGTAAAAACGTAAGGGGTTTCATGATGCGTGTTAGAAGAGAACATGTATAAATTTCGGTAAGGATATAAGTGAAGGGTTTGGGAAAAGGGATATTATGTCCTCAATGAGTAAACCATTTCGGATGACTATTCAGAGTTCTCTTTTACTTTACATACCCCATGACGTTATCACCGGATATGAACTACAATTCGCAAACATTGGTGCTCAACAAAAGTCAATCTTTTAAAGTTCTGAATCCATAGTAGACAACCATCGATAGTGTCACATGTGCACGTTCCGAAGGCTCCGTCGTGTTTTTGCGCTTCTTCAGTGACGCCACATCTTTCACCAGTGTTTGGACGTAGTTTGGTGACACCCAGGCGAGCAATGCGGTCAATGTTGCACTTTTTACTCGTGAGCTTTAGTCGTGTTTCAACAGCAGTTTCAATTTACATCCCCCAGCAATGCGGTGCTTCCCGTGTAGTGTGTTTCAAACCTAAGCTGAAACATATGCACCCCAAGTTCGATCGCCCACCCATGTTCATGTTTGGGCGCTTTGGCACCATCCTAACCCGCGTACATGCACTTGAGGTTGCATAACAGTGGATCATTTGTGCAGAGCAATGGGCTATCACCGATAGCTTTTCCCCTCTAACAGCATCCTTTGCAAAAGTGTTTTTTTGCTCATATTCCGAAGGTCTACTTGCTGTGTTATGTCTGTAGCCACCCCTTTTATTCTATGTTGTCGTGTTTGCATTTATTCAATCTTCAGATGACAACTGATCTGCGGTCGTTCCTTCGGTAGTGCCGTACGACAACAATTATTAAATTAGCTGACCACATTCTGCGAGTAACCAATGACTATCTTCGTATCTCAGACTATGTCTGATTACTCGGGATATTTTCGCCCATCTCATGTGCATGTGACTTTGTTATTACGGAATTGGCCTTCAGGTCCAACTGGACCTAGAACGTATATAGATCAGCTCTACTGCTGAGCGGCGCAGCTCTGATCTGCTTGTTTCATTTCGTCGCGGTTCTATTGTACATTAGCACGACTTCCTTGCCCGCGTCCGAAGGTGGTCGGCTGCGTGGTTGACTACTGACCCAAGTTTTCAGCTTCCCTTTGTCGATTTACTCGCATATTATGTTTTAGTATTACGGAACTACATACACATAGCTACGCCAAGTTGTTCGACGTTAGCTGATTGCTTTTCCGACAGATCATGTGCAAATGTTCCTTCTCGATTCCTTTCCGGTTTCCGCATGAAACTTGCTGGGATTCCCTCCCTCAGTATTCCTTTTGTCATCATCAGTTATGTTGGTTTTTCCCTTGTTCCATCGCCACACGATTCGTGTGTATTGCAGGTTCGATCGAATCGGTGTGCAACAGGCTGTGAACAATCGAGGCCTTAGTTCCCTGGAGCTTTATTTCGAGCGCTATACGAAGCACTATGGTGCACCACGTAAGTGGCATTCGCTGCTGTCATCGTTCGTTGTTGTTGTCACCTTTTAGTGAATAATAGTGCGAGTCGGCGTAGTTCGTACTATCTCATTGTCTCCATGATTCCTCGTTGCGCTTTGTTCTTTGACTCGGTAAGAATCCGACCTCGCAACACGACAGCATGGCTCGTTTCCTACTCGTAAGACCACATGTGGCCTGGGACACTAGCGACTCCGTTTGTTGTTAAGCTAAAATCACCTCAGTAGTCGTCTGCCTCTAATTTCTTGATTTTAACTTATCAGCATCACGTTCTCCAGTCCGGCATACTTGATACCGATTATGTCAATAGGCCAGGCATGGACATAGTCAACGTCTGCCTCGTTTGACCATCACGATGCTACCTTGCATTTTCTTTTACGTATTTTGGTTGTCCTCCATAGCGACAGCCTCGTGATTATTGTCTGTAAAGTGTTCCGTTTTTGTAGTCCAGAGTTGTTCTGTCGCCAGCTCTTTTCGCAGCACGTTAATGGTTCGATGCTTTTTTCAAAAACACGACGGTTTATGATTTGTCAGCCCAATCTAAAAGGCGTGGGTTGCATCTGACGATGAAAAAGCCTATACGTTACTGTCGGGGTTATTGCTGCTCGTTTCGGTCCAGTTCTGGGGTTCATCCAGGGATACTCATCTACGACTGACCATATCTACACTTAGAAATTTAACTGCTTCAAGGATACGTGCGCCACTGCCAGGAAATTGAGGAGGACCATATCTCACTCAGATTCCCTCGGGGCTCTGAAGTCACACTATCGGGTTGGATCCACTCCTCACCGCTTTATGGGAAGGGTTGTTGATCCAATAGCTTCGACAAATTGAACTTCCTTTTAACGTAGGTACCTGGAGCTTTATAACCACAAATAAACTCACATTGTAAGTGCTGTTGCATATTCCCCGTGTTCCATACGCTTCGAATCTATTCTGCTAAGCATGGTAAATAACTCTTTTCCATCAGCAATTCGGAGGGTCTATATTCGTTCACTCATCTCGCGATAAGTGTGTCGATTCCGGTCCAATGCGCGTGCCATTAACTCCTTTGTCATCAATGTCGTCAAGTGATGCTAAGTCGAATAGGTCTGAGAAGACTGAACTAGGCTACATCTTTGTGATGCATCCCGCCAACCTGCGTTGAGAATCTGTGCACGTGGGAAGAGACCCTAGCGCATTCGTCACTTAGATTTTAGCTCTTCTAGTGGGTTATCTGCAACTTCCGGTATCGTTGTTGTCTTTTACCCATGGACCCTATATCATAATTTTTTTCACTTTTGTTTTCCTCTGCAGTTTATGTTACCCCATCAACGGTACTCACAACTGACAGGCACTTAAAGCTTCTCCCAATACTCTGGTCACTTCACTCTGTTAATGTGTGACAAAGCGTCATTCCTTCGGGTGTGAGGTAGAGCGCACTGAATTGCCAACTGTCCAATAGTAGATGTTGGTCTATCTCAAAATGTCTCACCCGGTCATATGGGTGTAGAACGCCCGTATTCATACATGTGAGTACATGTGTACTTGCCAGTGTCGTCCAGCTTGGAAACGTTGGATCATGTGCGGATGGTTGAGTTGGAGTCAACCTACGGCCCGCCACAAGGTAAGCTCACCGATCGATACACACGTTGTGCATGGCTCGTTGGAATGGAGAGAAGTGTGCAAAACGGAAACAGTAGTGCCCCATAACCTGGCTACGGCGGTAGAATTGTGGTGCCGATTCGACAGGCGTAACTGGCCTGAGCAAGGAGTGTGCAATAGGTGCTTAGTGTTGTCCCAGCTAGTGACAAAAGGGTTATTGGCAACGCTCTTGTAGACTGAAACTTACCTTACGAAAACCTACCTTAGCAAAATAGGCATTCCTTACAACTAGGCCTTGCAACTGTGAAATGTAACGTTTTAGGAAAGGCGTTTTAAAATGCCATGCCGCCTAAAGACTACTCGCTGCCGCATAGCCTATTCTCCCATCGCAGTATTGATCGCCGTTGCAGGAAACAAGTGTGGTTACGCTGCCCAATTTGTTTCAGGCGGGACCATGAGCGTTCATTCCAACATATTCACTGATGAGGCAATATTCTATTAGCAGAGAACTGAGAAGCTGCATTTCTAGGCAATATCTAATCCACGAGGATACTGGGAATCACGTATTGCGCGAAGCTCATTGACTTGAGAAAATGAATGACAAATCATGGGACCACAGCACACGCATGTGGGTTCTCACGCACACTCTGTACCACAATCCCGTTATTCCTGTGATAACTTTTCCGACATATTATATTGCAAACGCACCTTTGGCTTAAATCTGGTGACCGGGCAGGCTAATCCTTTGGACCTATGCGACCGATCCACCGGTGACTGAACACCTCTTTAAGATAATGCCGCACCGTTTGTGCATAATGGGCAGGTGCGCTATATTGAATCTCTAAAGGCTGAAGCGAAGTGCCGAAGTAACCAACGATAAATAAATAAATAAATAAAATTGTATATGGCTCGACGATGCGAGAAGCCGTTCCCAGAAGGGACGGATCAAATAATGGTACAGCAGTTTCATATCATGGTATAATAAATTTAAAAATGTGAGCACAAAATGAAAATTTGTGTAGCGCGGAACGGTCCAAAATATTTACATTCCTCTTGTTCTATCGTCTGACAAGTTTTTCGCAGTCACATGAGAGTTGATCGCACACGAAAAAAAGAGAATAAAGTGCTGCGGGCCAACAAAATATAACCACTTGTGCACTTGACCACATGCATTTTCAGGCACCATTAACTCCGTTCTCAAAAGCGTTATCTAAGGACTGTGCTGTTCGAAACATTATTATCACATTTTGAACGGTTAAATGATCATTTATCGAAAGCTTAAACAAACGCAATGTGCAACAAGTTCTAATAGCTCTTGGAAGTTTGTTCCAAAGCTTTGAGCAGTGTATTAAGAAGAAACGTTCCCTAATTCGCGTATTGAACTTTGGAATCATGACCGTTTTCTCCTTATTTCGTAGCTCGTATCTAGTGTTAACGGACATATGGACACAGTTAGCATAATTGTGCATGTGATGGTGAATTATTCTGTAGAGGAAACACAAGTTCATCTTTATTATCCGTAGCCAAAGTGGGTCAAGTCCAAGTTTTTCACTGCGCTCTCTGTAGGTCATCTTGGAGGAATATCCGCACAGCTTCTTTGTAAAGCGTCGCTGTACCCTCTCAAGAGCATGCTGGTCAGATTTCCGCAGATTCGACTGTATTAGTGAGCAGTATTCCATGCCAGGTAACACATATGTTTTGTAAAGCCAGATACGAGATTCTGTGAGTTGAAATTTATGACAGATATAGCCAATAGTCTTCATGGCTTTCGAAACTTGGAAGTCACAATGTTCCGAAAAGTTGAAGGTAGTGGAATACCGCACACCCAAGTCGCGAATCACTTTGCACTGTGATATAAACGTGCCTTGTAATACTAGACTGCCTGGTGGAACTTCGCATTTGTACGACAGAATATTACACTTGTCCACGGAAAAGGACATCTGCCACAGTTTGCTCCAGGATTCAAGTGCCGATAGATCTTCCTGAATGTGGCACAAGGCTGTGCGGGTATCTGCACGTTCTTGTGAGTAGACGATTTTAATGTCATCAGCAAACAGAAAAGTAGCACCATGTCTTATTCTATGAAATACATCGTTGACGTAGAGGAGAAAAAGAAGTGGACCAAGTACACTTCCCTGAATTACTCCACTGGTGACTGCTTTCGGTTTAGAGACACGGTCCCCAATACGCACCACCTGATATCTGTCAGCTAGGTATGACGACAACCAAGAAAACATTGGTTCTCCAATACCTATTTCCTTCAGCTTGAGGAGTAGTCTTCGATGCGGCACTCTGTCGAATGCTTTTTGCATGTCTAAGAACAGGACAAAAACACTGTTGCCTTTGTCTATGGCAGCCGTTGTGTGGTTTAAGAAGTCTGTCTGGCATGTCGCACAAGATCTGCCCTGCAACAAACCGTGTTGTGAATTGTTGATGACGTTTTTCTTATTCAAGAAAATAAGTAATTCATCTTTCACTATCCTTTTCATAATTCGAGATAATACAGGTGTGTGATTGATGGGGCAACAGTTTTTAATTTCGTGAACGTTTCCATTCTTATGCCACGGGATAACAACGGAAGTCTTCCAGTGATTAGGATATACTGCACTGTTAAAAGACAGCGTAAAAATGTTGAGCAATAGAAGAAGCAAGTCGCTCCCACCACTTTTTAACAAACAAGGGGGAATTCCATCAGGTCCTGGGTAAGTCGAGGAAGACAGGCGAGAGACTTGACCGGAGATTTTTGCAATAGTGAATTCCACTGTGCATAAACTTTCAGCAATGTGTGGTGTGACAAGCGCTGGTGTGGCTAGCGGTTCATCAACCATTGATTCGGCGAAATAGGCGCTGAAAGCCTCACAAATTTCACCCGGAGCATCAAGGTATGTGCCATCCGGCATAATGATAAAATTGATGGAATTACTGCGACACAAACCTCTGGCACGAAACAGTTTGGACAGTTCCGTTTTTTTACTCAGGCCATTCGAAGCTTTGTATTCTTCTAATATGAGATTACGAACATTTAGATGCCCGAGTTCCTCGATGATCTTTGCCTGCTGCAGTATTAGCGCAAAGTCTGCTGTTAATCTGAATTTCCGCCGGATCTTATGAAGCTTGCGTGTGATACCTAACACTTTGCGATCGGGTTCTTGTTTTCTTAGGCGGGCACACTTTAGAGGCACTAATGAATCAATGCAAAGACCGATGATATCATAGAACACGTCTGCTGCTTTTTGAGGGCATGGAGAGAGGAAGAAATCATCCCAGTTCATCGAACGAACCATATCCTTAAACGTGTTCCAGTTGACGGAGTTGAATAAACGATAGTGCAGTGGGTGTGGTTCATTGGCCATGCGTAATCTTAAACAGCATTTGACCACCCGATGATCGCTCCCAGGG